AAGAGTGCGCTTAAGACCTTCCTTTTTGATAAAGCTTATAGTTAGGGCTGATTAGATTCAGCCCCTAGTTTTGCTGATATAGGCTTAGTTTGTCGGGGGACATCTTACTTCTTCCTTCTTTCTATCTATACCTGTGTACTCATGTTCCGATTAACCCAGCTTCCCCAAATTTCTTTCTTTTTGGTGTCTATATACGCCGGGATGCGGAGTCATGGATGATCCTGCGGTCCTGTGTCCTGCATCGCGAGCCCTGGATCTTGAGTCGTGGCTGTGGTCCTGGATCATAGGTCCTGGATGGATATCCTCGTGGATTCATCTTCCTATTATACACTAGGGGTGTAACGGTACACGTACCCGTACCGAAATTATTCGGTACGGGCCCTTCGGTTCGGTACAGGTGTGTACCGAAGTGTACCGAACGAATATAACGTTAAACGTAGAAAATTGAGAACGTGAACAACTTTTTGGAAGTAATCTCAGGTGCTGCGTCGCAGCATTCAGAGTAATTTGCTCACATTGGGTTCAACGCGTCATAGTCAAGTCATTTCATTGGATGAGAAGCATACTATGAGAGCTGGTCAGAGGGATGAGTTAAAATGTAGTCAGTAATTTGAGGAACTGTCGAAAATTAATGGCGAACGCAGATAAAGTTGAGCTCGAAAATCCTCCAGCATCATTGAAGTCTCCGGTTTGGGAACATTTTGGTTTCGCAGTTACGTACAAGGATGACGGATAAAGACAGGTGGACCGAACCAAAGCTGTTTGTCGGCATTGTTCAACTAAAATTGGTTACGCAGCTGGCAATACATCAAACTTGCACACTCTTGAAAAGGCATCACCCGAACGTGAATATCACCGGTACCAAAAGAAAAAAGACTGAAGTGCAAACCCAACTCCCACTAGCATGTAAGCCTCCACTTCTTCAGACCGAGCCAAAGCTATTACAAATGCCAAATATCCTTATGTTGCCATGTTAGCAAAGCGCTACCTGGCTGTGTCTGCTACCTCTGTCCCTAGCGAGAGGGTGTTCTCCACAGCAGGAGACATTGTTAGTGCCAGCAGATCTGCCCTTTCGGCAAGCAATGTGGACAAGTTCATTTTTCTTTAAAAAAACATGAAAATACAATGACAAGCAAGTCCTAATGTCAAGCTGGCTGCTTAGGTACTACTAGTACAGTACAGTTCAAATACAGATTATTTCAGTTCATCGAAAAGCTGCACCTTAATGTTTATTTTATTATATTTTGTATTTATTTGAGTGAATATTCACAGTTTAATAATAATTAAAAACCCAAAACTAATAGTTTATGTTTTGTGAGTACTAGTACAGTACAGTTCAAATACAGATTATTTCAGTTCATCGAAATGCTGCACCTTAATGTTTATTTTATTATATTTTGTATTTATTTGAGTGAATACATTATTCACAGTTTAATAATAATAAAAAAATTAAAAAAATTCTGCTGTACCGAAAACGTACCGAACCGAACCGTGACCAAAAAACCGAGGTACGTACCGAACCGAAATGTTTGTGAACCGTTACACCCCTATTATACACACATGCATTTACAAACATTTGGACTACCTATGTTGCAAATGTATTATCTTTTCAATTTACACACGGCATCTATTGCACGTCTGTCCGTCCTGGGAGAGGGATCCCTCCTCTGTTGCTCTCCCTGAGGTTTCTCCCATTTTTCCCTTTAAAACTGTGGGTTTTCTCCGGAAGTTTTTCCTTGTAAGATGTGAGGGTCTAAGGACAGAGGGTGTCGTATTGTCATACTGATATTTTGTACAAACTGTGAAGTCCACTGAGACAAATGTAACATTTGTGATATTGGGCTATATAAATAAACATTGATTGATTGATTGATGTGCTCACGGACTCCTGGTGGACGTTAAAAACAAACGCTTGGTTGATGCCTTGACGTTTTCCTCCCTCGTGTGTACACTTGGCAAGGCAGCGTACAACGGGCTGTCAGGCTCGCTGTTGGGTGCGGACATTTTTCTCAGGCTGTTGACTGAATTTCCAGACCTGACGCAACCCACCTTCTCCGCGCTCGCCACCAAGCATGGGGTGGAGAACCACGTCACCACCGAGGGTCCCCCAGTCTACTCCAGGGCCCGGCGGTTGAACCCTTCTAAGTTTGCAGTAGCGAGGGCGGAGTTTTCAACCATGGAACGCCTGGGTATCGTCCGCCGTTCTGACAGTCCTTGGGCCTCTCCTCTGCATGTCGTTCCCAAGTCGAATGGCGATTGGCGCCCGTGTGGGGATTACCGCCGCCTCAACGACGCCACGACACCTGACCGCTACCCGGTGCCGCACATTCAAGACTTTTCAGCACATCTGGCCGGTACGTCGGTGTTTTCGAAAGTGGACCTGGTGCGTGGTTACCACCAGGTGCCCATGCATCCCCTGGACGAACCTAAGACAGCAGTGATAACGCCGTTTGGACTCTTCGAGTTCCTGCGAATGCCTTTTGGGCTCAAGAACGCCGCCCAAACGTTCCAGCGCCTGATGGATTCGGTGCTGCGGGACCTGCCGTTCGTGTTTGTCTACCTGGACGACATACTCGTTGCCAGCGCTTCGGTGGAAGAGCACCTGTCACACCTCCGAGCCCTTTTCACGAGACTCAGCCATCACAGGTTGATAATCAATCCTGCAAAGTGCCAGTTCTGGGTGTTTGATATTGACTTCCTCGAACACCGCGTCACCAAAGGCGGGGCAGCACCCCTGCCGGCGAAGGTGGAGGCTGTTGCGGCTTTTCCTCGCCCGCTCACAGCCCGGTCGCTCCGTGAGTTTCTGGGGATGGTGACTTTCTACCACCGTTTCATCGCCCGGGCTGCTCACATTATGCGGCCTGAGTTCCCCAGCGGCTTTCGCCCTCGAGCACGGCCGCTTGACTTTTGCCACTGCGGCTTTCGCCCTCATGCCCGGCCCCCTGAGTTCGCTCGCTGTGGCCTTCGCCCCTACTCGAACTCTGCCTTGCCCCCGGGCCGTCCGCCCGAGACCCCTTCCTGGTCCTCTGCCGTGCCCAGGCCCGGTTCTACAGGTGTGCATTGCACCCTCAGTTGAGTCGTTATGCACCCTCATTTGAAAATGAAAAAAATAAAAATATTACATATATAATAACAATGATAATAATAAGAAGATGAATACAGTTGGAATAAAATAAATTGTAATTGTGGTTAAATAACATTGTCTGCTGCATTTATTTGCTCAATTTAAACGGTAAGTAACGTTATTATGTCAGGTGTGCGTGACCTGTGCCGCTTCGCGTTCGTCATCGGCAAGGTGCTTACACAGCAGTCAATGATGGACATCAGAAAATGGTTAAAACAACCAGCCCTTATCGCCAACAGTAACACTGCATCTACTGCAGGTAATAACAGTTCAGATCATGGGGACATTTCGTTACCCGCGGCCACTGTCGTGGACACTAACGCCCGACTCGCCCACGGAGGCGGAGCAGCCGCAGCCGTCTTCGTTGCCCCAAACACCGCCACCCCTCAGCGGCCCGCAAGTGCCAGTGGACCTCGGCAAAACAGAGCCTGCCCAGGTATATTTAAAAAAGTACCCAACTCGCCTCTACAGTGGGGTAAGGCGCTCATTTTGCAGCTCATGGTTTCAAAACCGAGATTGGCTGGAATATTCATGTAAAAAGATGCCATCTTCTGCTATGCATGTAGACATTTCGGTTCAAGTAAGTCAGATGCCTTCACCACAACTGGCTACAACAACTGGCGCCATGCTCTTATAGGCTACGTGATAAGGGACTGGGAAGGCATGAATCAAGCAAAGAGCACATAGATCCATAGATCTCTTCATTTTGCTCTCAAAGTGCACCAGATTGATGCTTTTAACTTCAATATTTAAAAAAAAAAAATCCGGGGGAACATGCCTTCGGACCCCCCTAGAGGGTGTTAGGTCCACTCCCCACTTAGAAAAATAGCACTTTACCACTGCCCCCTCTCTAATCTCAGATGCACCCGGAGTCATTTTGTTCTGGAACCGGGCCTGGCCGTGCCCCCGGGCTGTCAGCCCAAACCCGTCCTCCAGACCCCCTCCACCCACCCTTTAGGCCCTAGTTATCCCATTGTTGGATCTTGGCTCGCTCCTATTTTGACTGTCCTTTGTCATAAGTGTCTTTCAAGTCCACTGCTGGAAATGTTATCACACAGGGAGCATCATATGCCTCTGATAAATATTTGTGAGATTAAGTCTACAAGAAACTAAAGATCAAAAGGTTCTACTACCTACATTTCCTCTGGTTTTCAGTATATTTAAATGATTTCATTTCATGGGTTTCCCTGCGCTGAATTAATAATGTTGAGCAGAGCGCCCTCTTCTGGGGAAACGAAAATTATTTAATAATGTGTGGGAATTCTTATCAATATTATCAGAATTTGGCCTCACAGATTTGTTATTCTGTAATCTAAATTATAATGTAAAAGAAAAGTAGTTTATGTTCTTAGTGTTTGACAACAATATAATAAAGTTATTTAAATAACTTTCATTGCCCAAGGAAGTATAATCCATTATTTTCCAAAGAAAGCCAAAACTTGATCCAAGAAATTAAAGCTTTGTTTTCTCTTCTTTTAATAATACTATGACCTCACATATTTATCTTTTGACCTTTGGAGGGGCCCAACCCCTTAATTGACCCCTTAAACCTGGACTAAACTAGCTGTTCATAAAGAAGTTTAAACTGGCTAATATTTAGGTATCAGTTGTGTTTCAATACAATGCTTATAGTACATTTAGCTGCTCTAAATTATAAAACATAAATGAAGAAGTATTTCCCCATGCAGGATATTGACTTGTATTGGAGTATTTTTGTAATGCTTTATTGTTACTTAATATATAGAAACAAATTCCTGAGGAACATTGTGTATTTTTGTAGAAAGCTCATCTTCATGTCATTGTGGAAACACATGCCGTCAGTTACTTGGATACAGTCGCTAGAACAACACTGATGATTAAAAACATGACACAGAAACAAACTCTATAGCTTTTTATTGTTTAAAAGTCATTTCAGCAGAAATAACAAACTTGATTCTCTATAAAATAAGGTTATACTAGCTTTGTAGGAATAGAATAATTTGTTAGAATTACTAATTGTAAAAATAAAAGACTAAGGGAGGTGAGTTGTGTGCATAGCTTGTTAACAACCTCCAGACAATGAGAAATACAGAGATTAAAAAGGGGAGAGAATATATAAATGAATACTAAAGGCTGTGGTGATGTAAACCCAATTTCAGACAATAGTCAGTGACTCACCCTGAAAATTGTGAGAAACCACGTGATTAATAAACAAAAATACAAACAGGTAGTGTAAAGAAAAGTGATTCAACTTGTATATAATGAGCTGGATTCAACCAGTAAGAAGATGTGGAAGGTGGAAACCTAAAGTATAAAAAATATTGTCCTTAGCTTAAGTATGTTTTCAGATGAAGAACAGAGTCTTAAAAGCCGATTTTCTTTGAAAACAAGGCCAAAATGATTATTTTATTTGTTTCAGATGCAATTAAGCAATGTTTCGATTTGTTGTTTGAAAGGAAACGAGTTGTAATAAAAGTTTTGTTTTTTTAAAAGCTTAAAAGACAATCATTTGCTGGTTTCAAAATGATTATCCCTCTTTATGATTTTAGAATATCCTTAGTTGGAGCCAAATCTTGGCAAATAACATCTGTGTCATTCAACTAAACTCAAGTGGACTTAACCTGCATTTGAAAATAAAGACTTATTCCTTTTTTTATCTTTTTACAAAAGACATTTTTTGATTTTAAGACTCTTGAGAAAATAAAATGTTGTTCTTACTTTATGTGGAAAAGTATCTGGAGTACAAACGCAAATGGAAAAACTCATTGATAAAAATAACCCATCAACCAGCCGTGTGTGTGTGTGTGTGTGACAACTTTAGTGTTTGTTCATCCGAAGACAGCTGTAAACAAACTAACTAAACATCCATGGGAACACCAAATGAGCACAGACTCGTTGCTCCACCAGGGGGCAACAAAGACTATTAGAGTCTGCAGAAATCCCTCTTCATGGATTCAACTCTGTCTTTCAAAATAAAACCAGCACAGTTTGTACCACAAAACTGTGTTTCTCAGATCGACCTCACATTCAGTTTGAACTTCGGATGGCGAAGAGAACTAAATGGTAACCAAGTCATCCTTCATGGAGATGGAGCAGCAACATGCAGTGAGTATAGGCTGGGATTCCCCTGCACGTTACAACATAGAACACAATTAAAACAAAGAACAAGAAAACAATATTTCTCTCCTCTCCATCACTAGCACTCACAGATTTCCTGGTGCTTCAGGATCATTCAAGAGAAACTTTACAGGCACAAAGTGGGTCCACTGCTTTTCCCCGATCAACAGGGAACAGCAACAACAACAAAAAGACAACAAAACTAAAGCGGTTCAGAGTTTTTGCAGCTTTGTAGTGGTTTTCTAAACTTTTACTTTAAGCTTTAACAAAAATGACTTCTGATGAACATATCATCCTGCAAGTGTTGAGGGAAGAACACAGTTTATGACAGAAGAATACATCAAGCAGCCAATTGGCCAGGTTTCTACCGTTGGTGAACATGAAACATAATGGTCCATATGTCCCCAGCAAATCAGGAAGTCACTCAGGGCTAGCCGGCAATGACTTCCTGTCTCTTTCAGCTCTAATGTAATGTCATTACTGTCACTTCTCACACACATGTTCTCCACACATGGTCTCTGGCAGTCAGTCTTAAAATATCCTTTTGATATTAAATGTACCATGACCACCTAGACGTGGAAAGGTAAAGTGGATCGAGCTAAGTACGATGTAGAACGTGTCGAAATAAATCTGTAAAACAAATGGAATTGAGTAATGAATTTATAATGGAAGTGAAGTTGGACACCAAGTGGATTTAACTCTAGTCTGTCGTATTCAATCATTTGTTTTTGAGCAGTGACATAATATTCTTGACAGTAACTGAAAAGGAAACATCTTTAAACTTTTTTACCTAAATTAACGCAGGCCCTGACAAGACACCAATACTTTTTTGATCTAATAATATCAGCTTGAAAGCAGGCTCCATTTTAAACAGATAAGATACTAAAATGAGCAGATGTTTGGTCTGTAGTGACTTTACATTGTTTAATTGACTAAATGATTCATACTCAAAGAATGAAATGGAATAGAGGAGCGGTTCAAAGTAAGCACAAATATTTCAGAGTCTTACATTTTTAGAAATAAAAAGTGTTTTTCGTTTTGTTAATTTGTATACTAACTGCAAAAAAAGTATACGACAAATAAGAATACTGTACTTCAAGCGGTTGGTATTAAAAAGGGGACTTAAACACAGAAAATATCAGTCATCTCAGACGTAATTTTTAACCGTTTCCCTCCTTTTACGCTACAGTTAGAGCATCAGTCAGAAAAATAAAACCAGGGACAAATGTATGATGTTACTGTCTATCTGTTATCACCTTACAGGTAAAACAGTTTACCATCAAGTGCTATCTCTTTGGATCTAAATCCCATCCAAAGTCTAGTTAGGTAAACACACCACAAGGCAGTACGAGAGAAACATTTGTGCAGAGAAACAGCTGAACGGAGTGCTGCAGACAAACTTCACATAAAGTGCAAACTGACGAGGTTTCTCCCCCTCGCGGCATCAGACCGGCTGAAGCTCCGGGGAAACCAGCGAGACAGAAGACGAGACGATCCACCGCTCCTGCTCCAGGTCTAATGGCTCTCTATCACCACAGGCTCGTACCCGCCGGCAGACACCCTGCAGACACCGAACACACAGGAACCAGAGTCAGAGTGTGTGTGTGGACAAGTTCATTAGTGTGTGTGTGTGATGTGCTGGAGGGTTATCACAGTAATTCACTTTAATCCTTACTTTAATTGGTACCATGGACATTTATTAACATTTTATTGTGTAGCGGCAAACAGATGACAGTCATAAAAATAGGGGGTAGGCTTTCAAATTAAGTCTTTTTTAAAGCTCTGAAACATTTCGTTTATTGCAAGTTTTTATTTTTCCAAACTAATGCTTGAAAGTGAATATAGTTTGTTAAAGTCTGTTGATGTGGCCAATTTGTTTCCGTAAACCAGGAAGTTTATGTACTGCATTTCTTTGCAATTTGTTTGGATTGTACCCACCAAGGATAAGAGTGCCGGCTAAATAAATGCTATGTAAAAGTCAAGTCAAATCTATAAATCATGAATTTGCCTCTAAAGGACTTCCGAATCGTCCCGAACCATCTATGACAGCCAATCATTACATTTATCACACTGTATTTGAGTCTAAAACAAAGAGCTGCAAACATTTAATCCAATCTTAGATCAGCAAAAAGTATTTAATCAGGAATAACTCAATTAAATTGAAAAGGACATATTATGCTCATTTTCAGGTTCAGATCAATAACATGCACAAAAACCTATAAAAACACACAACAGGGAAGGGAAAAGCACAATAGGGCTCCTTTAAACTAAATCTGACCAGATTTGTGTTTCTAAACTTCAACACTTTTTAAAAACGTTATGGGGTTTTGCTCAAATTCTTCACAAGGAAACTGTTTAGCGCCACAAACTGACAACAATAGAAAATGTCTCTATAGCTAAAACTCCAATCTGGAAGGAAGAAACAAAGAGCGGAGGAAGTGTTTAAAAAAACCTCAATAATAGAAAGTCATAACCGAGCTCTCACCTGTTCCCGAGCCTGATGCCGCTGAGCGCAGTCGTTCCGTCTCTGCTGACAAACAGTCGCAGGTTGCTGTCTGAAAGCCAGAGACACAGAAACACAGTGAGCTGCTGCTGAAGGAACCAGAAGGCATCGACACGCAGACAAAACACAGAGCTGAGTGTGTGGGAACGAAACTCCATCCCACTCAGGGATTTTAGCCTTTGCAGACCATTTACATGCACAAAAACCTACTTTATATAAAACACACTACAGGGAAGGGAAAACCCCAAAAAGCATAATAAGGCCCCTTTAAATCTAGTTCTCTTTAGTGTGCACGGGCTGTAATTAACCCCTTTTAGCAGTATACAGTATAGCGACTGCTTTTATTTACTTTTAACCTGTAAAGCAATCACTACTGAGATACAAATGTGCAGCTGTTGTTTTAAGTACTGTTTTTGTCCTTTTGAAACTCACAATAAAGGGAAAACATACAGAAAAGGTTGAAACAGAGTTGCGCTATTGATGTTGGATTACTCTGAATCTTATCGTGCTCCACAGTACCTTCAGTGTTGTTGACATTTGCAAAGTTTTGGCTTTGAACAATTTTCTCCACAATATCATCTGCGTCCATGCGGGTGTCGTTTACCCAAGAGGGGTGACTCTCCACCGAGTCCTGCTTCCTCCTGAACCAATACAGTAAATGGAAAATGCATGAGTAGTTAGAAGAGGCCAAACCACAGTACTCTCCTGAGCAGAGGACTTATGCACTGTACTCTGTGTTCGTACCTGGACGGCCTGTTGGGGAGTAAGATGGGCCGCGGAGGTCGAGGGGGTCTCTCTGGACGTCCAGCGTCCTTGTCGCCCTCTGCAGGGGTGTCAGCAGGGGAGGCCACGCCCCCAGAGGCGCTGCTTCCTGTCGAGGTGTTCCTGCGGTGTGTGAGGTCCGACAGGCTGGAGGAGCAGGAGTGCTCAGTGCTGTAACCTGCAGGGACACAGGCTTTTAACACAACGCTTTTATCTTCTTTACAGTGGCTTCTAGTCAGCTCAGAATTGATTTCATGGTTCTTTTGATTATTAACAGAGCACTCAATGGTGTAGCTCCGATCTTGTATCTCAGTATTTCCCTGCTGGCACTTTGATATGGTCAGGCAGAGGCCTTCAGTCTATTCCAGTCAGGACAGCTCTCGAGATAACAGGCTCTGGAACACCATGCCCAGGCTTATACTAGATTAGATATCCTTTATTATTCCAAAATGGAGAAACTGTTATGCTACAGCAGCATGTTAACAAGGAAAAGCAATACAACAATATTTTATATATATATATTATTTTTTTTAGGTAGAATACAAAATAGCAGGCCAACCTACCACTAACAAATGTAAAAATAGAATATTGTATTGCATACATTATTGCAAAGGGAAAACTGAGCATAGTCCAATTAAGAAATAAAATAAAAACAAACTACAAAGCTTTGAGCGATTTATTTATTTTAAAGAGGACATATAATGCTCATCTTCAGGTTCATAAATGTATTCTGTGCCTCTACTGTGACATGTTTATATGATTTAATACAAGCTACATGTGACTACTACATAGAAAACCTAGGGACATGAGTACTCAAAACAATTTATATAGTTTGTAGGTGAACTACTCCTTTAAATGATACTTATTACACCATGGACACTATTAGTTACATGTATTCACTTTTCATAAAAAAAGAACACGATTGAGTATACATTTTGATTGTAATTCTGGCCACTTTCTATTTTATATACAGTATCTTATCTTGACTCTTTTCGTTATGCACCAAAACACTAAGACAAATTCCCATATAGGATATATATAGTGCACTTAACACTGGAATGTATGCTTTCAGTGGCCTTAAGGGTTCCCCACGTGACAGAAATATAATCATCTGTCAACAGGTTGGCCAAATAGACGTGTGGACCATGTGACCATGCATGATCACCCAGTGGGATAAGCGCAAATGAAGGGTTCCAGAAATTGTGTATAGCACACAAAGTAACAGTGACAGCTAGAGACCTTTAGACGATTGTCATCACTCTTTCTCTACCAATGTACCTGTATCTCTACATTTAAAAGTGCCTCAACAGAAAATGCCATGACAATGTTAGATTTAAAGAGGACATCTTTTGCCCTTTTTCAGGTTCATATTTGAATTGTGTGCCTCTACTGAGAATGTTTACATGCTTTAATGTCCCACCCCTAAGCCTATCATGTAAAACATGTTGGAGCACTAGCCAATAGAAGTGATGTCCAATAGAAGGGATGTCACTATGTTATGTAAGTAAACAAAGAGTTCAATGGAGGCGTTACAGGTGGGGGGGGGGGGAGTGTGTGTGAGAGAAACTCCCTCTGGGGATTTTAGCCGTTGCAGACCATTTACATGCACAAAAACCTATAACACACTACAGGAAAGGGAAAACTCCCAAAAGCATAACAAGGCCTCTTTAAATCTAAGCTCAAAATGCTTTTATTGCACTGCCTGCCTACCCTAGTTTGACTTGATTATGGGTGCTATTAAAAGTATAATTAAGTATAATATTATTATTAAAAAGAAATCAGATGAGACCTTAAAAATATTACAGATTATCAACGCGATACTTTGGCGAGGTTACTTCCTACAGGAGTATTGGAAAACTACAGGTCTTGTATAATAAAGAGTTTAATCCCCCACAAAAAAGGGCTCCATGAGACATTTGTTAGTGAGTCTTGTACCTGAGATTTTGCTGTGCTGGCTGGCATAGCTGGAGTTACGAGAGTGACCAGAGAGAAAACCTTCTGCAGGGCCGGAGTGGCTGGCTTCTGATTCATCAAGGAGACCTGAAGGCACCAAAACAAGAAAAAACTAAATGGTTACCACCTCACATATATTTATTTTATGTCAAAATGTTTATTTAGTTGCTTCCTCTGCAGGATCAGACATCAAGCAGTCTTGGTTTACTTCTGTTTCTGTAAATGCAAACTGTTTTTCAGCAACTGCCTTTGTAAACTACCTTTTGTTGAAATAAAACCTGTTGTTTTTCAAGTATTTTATTTCAAAATGAAGAAGTCCTAAACATTGCCAGCAAGGACAATGATTCTTTTTTGTTTACTTCTTCCAGGAAGTTATGTCTCTGATTGAAACACTCTTATCGCTGAGGGGCTTAGCCAAGTTCTAAGACTCAAGACTGTATCAGATGTTTTTGTACTACTTCTTAACCTCATTTCTTTTTGACACCATTTGACTGAGATTTACCTTTTACTACCACAGTTTTGGAACCAATGGTTTAAGATAAATGTGTAGTTTAAGGGCCAGATTCAAAATGTAACCTGGTCTCGGAGTACAATACAGACTAAAATAATCCTCTTTAAATGTTTCAGCTGAGACCTGAGCTGTACCTGAGCTGATGATTGAGGGTCGAGGCTTGGAGGCTCGGCCCAGAGAGACCCCCCCAGCAGGCCCGGGCTCGGCCGTTCCCTCCCCCTTACAGTCCAGCTGCAGGGTGTGCTCTTGTCCCGGGATGGAGATGGATTTGGCTGCGCAGGGGGGCCTGCAGGAAAAAAGTAAACACAAGTTATCAGTCTGGAAAAGATTAAATGAGCACAGAGCTGCTTAGCTTGGCAGCCTCTTCACATTCATTGGATTGCCTGCGGGGGAACTGAGTCATTGCAGCAATAAAGGACGGACGAGTGGAAATATGATGTTCAACAATCTGGTTAAAAGGTTAAAAATGTCCTTAAAACACAAGGAAACCAATTATAATGTATGCAGAACTCCATCAACAGAAAAACAATGTAACTTTACAGATTCACTATTAAAAATATCTGCAGTTAATTAAGTGGAGAAAGTATGGCTTGGTTTATATTGATCAGCTTTAATTCAGTGTTACTAACTTTTCCATTGTTAATGTTTCCAACAACAACAGGGGGAAAAGAACCCACACAACTTTGGCGTATAAAGTTTAACAAAGTTACAATAAAGTACCCTGAAATTAGTGGGTATAGAAAGAACTGTAATTAAGATACAACTGCATATTAATGTATATAAAAACACAATACTTCTACACACTTCTACTACTGCAGTTCCAGTCTGATCTCCATCTAATATTGAGAGCAACAGGCTGATGTGATAGACGCTCTGTGATGAACTTTGTGTACTATACATTGAGAAATGACTGAGACATGAATAAAGCACATCGTATATCTCACACTCTTTCAAATACTCACGTCTTAAAACACGGATCTCCAGACAGGAGGGTCATCCCAATTATCACCTTTAAAAAAGAGATACAAATACATTTTACCACACAATTTAATTTCAGTTCCTATTGATTAACCTATATTTTTGCTATTAAGAAGAGTCAAAGTGCATGTTTTGACCCAAATGTCTGTTAAGGAACTGGAAAAGTGTGGAGTGCTTTCCCAGTAAGCTCACTGACGTACGAGTTAACAGTATGTCTTCCAGAGGAATGAGATGACAGAGTTACTCGTGACTATCTTGGCCCTTTGTTTTACAGTGCAGTGTATCCTGACGGCCTCTGGGCGGCGCTGCAGAGAGAATGATCCAGAAGCTCCTTTACCCACAGAGACATTAAACTGTTCAGCTGTGTGTGAAGATGACTGCTTTTCGTTTGGTGTTGATGTTGACTTTTGGGTTTAGATGTCTTCAAAGTGATTTTATTTTTGTTTAGCCAATAGTCAAAAACCACTAAATCATTTAGGAAACATGGGGCCCTATTTTCCCACTTGTCAGGAGGATTTCCCAACAACCCGAGATTAAGGGTTTGCCTCCTTTAGACCGGTAAAGACATTGGACTTATTGTGGTGAGGAGGAAGTGCAGTAGCTTTATTATTCTTTACTTAATCTTTGTTTTTTTTTCTTACCCAGGTGTTGAGCAATACTTACAATATTGTCTTGGGCGTTAAATATTTGACTCCCTACTTATATGTATGTTATAGCAAAGTCCAATAAATAAAGTTTAAAAAAAGATAAATAAGTCAATAATCATTTTATTCCAAGGTCATCTTTACGAAAAATACATCCTAATAGTTGCATCCCAAGTGGATCTTCCCAATATTCTAAAATGTTAACTTTAGAATATATATAAAATCCTAAGTTTATATTTTAAATAGTATATTGGTCTATTAAAGAACCTTTTTACTTATAGAGTGGTGCAGGGATGACGTTTTTACCCGGGCTGCGCATGGGTTCCCTCGAGAAAAAAGCAATGGGATTTCTCCATATGATTTTGGAAAATAGCTCGAAATAATATTCACATGTCTATCCTACTTTTATGATTTTCGAAGCATAAATCTAATCGCAAGAAGCAAAATGCTAACGTTATGCTATAAAGGAACTACAGCAGGGTCGCTGCTTCAACGTCACGCCAACTTAAGATCCATATTAAAACATACAGATTCTAAATTGTACAAGTTGAAGCGTTTGTTTTAACAGTTTGCAGGAGGCAGGTACTTGCTTTCAAGCAGAACAGGGCAAACAAACTTAGCGGGAGTGTTTACGTGTTCTGTGTAATGACGTACAACGTCCTCAACTTCTGTAGTCCTATTCAGCCACTTGTTAACAACAACATCGTTTTTCAGACACGTCAACTCTTCAAGAATCACCACTGCTGATGGATTTAATGTCGTAGAACAAAACGTGATCCGTCTCTTCAATTTGTGTCAACCACAGACCTTATTTCCAGCTATTTTCCAAAATCCTATGGAGAAATCCCATTGACTGAGAAGAGGGAACCGGTAGTGGTAAAATGCTAACTCACTTCCGGGTTTTAGGACTCGTCACTGCACCACTCTATTCTGTGTATTTAGAGTGTGCATCATTTAGACACCCACTGTTTGTTTGTCCTTTGGACAGAAACACCAAAGCACTTAAACAGAAGTCACCAGGTTGACATGACAAAGAGCCTATTGATCCTCTACATTTCCAATCAGGTCTCTTCTGATTAAACTCGTGGAGTGGAAGCAATCAAGGAAAAGGTCAAAGTGTCAGAGTTAATGATTTAGCTTGTGTCAGGCATCACATTTACGACACAATAAAATGTATGTTTCTACAGTGAGGGAACAGACTTTTTGTCTTTTTTTGTCCCCGAACACCCTTCTCCTTGCCTTCAGTATAGAGTTGTCCTGCCGTGTGTTCTTGGTGTCGTATCCTTCCAGCAGACAGCAGCGCACAGTGGAGCCAGAACCCGCAAACTCCGCCATGTTGAGGTCTGTGAAGCCCAGCTGAGTGGAAAAGAAGAAAAAACAAGTTAATTCTAGATTCACTAATGGACGGGTTCATTGGCATTTTATTTTTGGCATGAGAGATCTCTGTGGCACCCATCATTTACTAAATGACCGTCGTTAAAAAAAGTCACAAGCTTCTGAAGTCTTTATATATGACAGGGTTTAGAAACCACATGTCACTCTTAACAGACATCAAACCTATATTTTTGTTGAATTGATGAAGAGAATGACATGTTACATTTAAAAAAAGGTAGCTGGTTATATTCTCTGGATATACAGCCAGTGAGAAAATCATGAAAGGAAGGCCAGAGCAACACTGATGATAGTATCACATTTGGGAACGACTCCTTGGAATCTATGGCACACCTAAACAGTGTGCACTCTGGAAAGGTATTAGGACGGCCTCTCCCTGCATGATGCAGTCTGTTTGTAATCTTTTCTCCCTTTACCCTCCCAAAAATCAAAAGATTCAGAACATTGTTTGAAAATAAATGGGAAAATAGTCACAGAGAAAGGGGGAGTTAGGACGAGCTGTAACGGCACAAAAAGCTGAACAAAAACAACTTTACATGGTCTATAATTGTGGTTTCTTACTAAATAAAACAATTCAGTAAAGAGGAAAGAGGCCCTATTATTCTAATTTCCTGGATGTGTGTAAATTGTGTTAACCAGTTAAGCCCCAAGCCTGTTTTTAAGGTCTCAGACACTCGAAAATGACATTCCCAGAACAAATGACAATAACTTCCCTTTTAAAAGGGGGAAATTAATCTCAGTAGTATTATATATTATACAGTATTACTCAAAGTAATGATACATCTCTGAGTTGGATGTAGAAAAGTCAGAATCAATATAGAATTTTTTTATTTTAAAGTAAATTCAGATTGAACACAGTAAAAAAAAAAGTAAATTATAGTTTCCGTTCAAAAAATAAACCATTACTTATAGTGAACACCACCCTTGAATGATGGGATAGTGGACTAAAAGCTTTAGGAATCCAAACTATAACAAATAATAAGTACCCTGTATCAAGATTGATGCAAAACAAGTGACATTTGACCTTTTTAGAGATATTTTCTTTTGCATTTTCTTTTGCATTTTCCATATCTCTGGCCCCCCTCGGTCGATTTTGATGATTGACATCTCTTTTGAACCATTAGAGCCAATAGAATCGAGGGAAGTTCCTAGAATCCATCTAAACATTGAATGAATGAGTGATGCGCAGCCAGAATGCCCAAAACCGGAAGCTGTCATACACTCTCGTAGCTATCATAGCAGCTATATATGAAAACTCTGTTTTTTGCCATAAGTATGAAGATGGATTATCAGTAATCATTTCAAAATGACACAGGCACATTGGGTTAACCTATGGATTAACCTTCAGCAGCGTTTTATGCGTTTTATTGCCATTGAACACAACTTTTGATCAGAAAACAGCTAAGGTAAGACTTATTTTCCATTTTGGTCCCGTAAAGCTACGTTGTGTGATGTCTGGGTTTGCTTCCCCTGCCGCGAGTTTTGGTCTCTCAGTGATGATACTAATACTTCTAGATACTGTGGAATCTCAGCTTGCTAGCTGATATCTTGTTTGTGCAGATCCGATAAGTAATAAAGTATTTATACCGTGAGTTCTGTGCTAAGTTTAGCTCAGGGCTAATTCAGAGGCTTGTTATTACCCTTGTGTTTTGTTTAGCTAAAAATAGTTAATATTGTCTGATAGCTGAGTTTCTTCCCGTTAAGTGGGTATGACACATTCATAGTTTGTTAAATGTTAAGAAGCCCCCAGACGCTGTTTCTTACAAGATGTCGCATGGGGCTTAATGTTTATGCATGCTTCTTAATAATATTAAGCTATCTTTGGCTCTTTACTTGGTGTAACAATGAAACTTTCCCCTCTGTGGGACGAATAAAGGTATTCTGATTCTGAAACCGGCATTAGAGATCCAGATTTAGAAGGTAACACTGAAATGGACCGTACATGCCTACATGACTTTACCTTTAAAAATAACCTCACAGCTTCTTGCCGTGTGGAAACTGCCTTTGCCTGAAGCTCATTTGGGATGTTATTTTAAATTAACTACAATTTACAGCTCCTCTCAATCTAAATGTTCCCATGCTTCATTCTCCAGGTTTCCCTTTTCTTGAGGAGCTTCTGTTTTCATAGGTGTGTATTTAAAAGGAAGCCAACTTCTAAAGAGGGAAGCTGGGTATATATTTAGCAAAAAGGAAACCTAAATGGAGAATAGGGAAAACAGAGGAAACGGTTCCTGTCCGGCAACAACGTCCACGGATCAACAAAAGTTTATCGACTTGAGGGGTTTGACCTTGTAATTTCATTGCACGAGACGTGACTCATTTGGTAGGAGCTATTACAGTTACGGTTAGAGAAGTGTTGGCAGGATGTTCTGCAGATTCCGGCCAAAAGTGAACGTAGGGAGGACGCATTTTTGATTTATTGTCAAGCCCTGCTAGTGCAGAGCTTGACAAAGTGCAGCGAGAAATGCTAATATTTACACAATGTGGCATTAAGGTTTACACGGAGCTCATCGGCAACTTCATGAATGTGAGACACAAGCTCTTACCTTCGTATATGCTTTTCCTCCTTTGAGTTCCTGCAGGGAAAACAGGAAGACAGTAATGAACCTGGTGATCCAACTGATCCAACTTCATATTACAGTGGCCTCCAATTACAGGGCTCCCAAAGAGAGAGTCAAAATTACAGGCTGAGACCACACTCAGGGTGCCTCAGAGCATGGCATCGAGGCGCCGTTCACATGGGAGATTTCAGCATCACTGAAATATCCTGGATCCTGGATATACCTCGGACTCAAAAAGTATGTACATTTATTTTGGTTGTATCTAGTTTGTTGGTGGATGCAGTTCTTCAGGGCTGGGTATCGGTACAAGAGTTGGTTCTATACTGGTCAAGGGTCATTCATGCCTTTACAGTATTCCCACGCAACAAGTTTGAATAATTTGATTCTTCTTTTGGGGCAAAAGCCATTTCAATAGGGAAGAACAGCTGATTCAAAATGTTTGAACAGTAGTGTGAATCAGTACGGCTCCAGCATAGCTCCAGACCAGTGGTTCTCAAATGGGGGTACGCGGACCCCTAGGGGTACGTTGGAGTACTGCAGGGGGTACGTGAGATTTATTTTATGTTAATGAAAAAAAAACATAATTAATGCATTTAAACAAACTACTAATAGTAGATTAACTACTTTATTCAAAGGTTTACAGTAATTCTGGATAACAACATGGGAACAATAAACGGGGTTCTCTCTTTTCCTCTCCCTCTCCTGACAGCCCGTCAGGCTCGTGCAGCTCGCTGAACCTTTTTTTTTTATAAGTGACCCGACAGTAAAGAATAAATATATGTATAACTAGTTTAACTAGTTCCAGAGTAGATAAACTAGCTAAGTGTGTTAGGTCTAACTCTTAGTGTATTTTGCTCCACTCAACGGTCCGTCACAGCGGGGGAGCTGTGATCATGCAGAGCTGCGTGTTCTCCGTCAGCAGCAGCTGATCTGCTTTCTGATCTCTCTCTCGCGTCCGGTTAGACTTCACTCGCTTTTATGTCCAAATCTATCCGATCTAGCTAGTTCTAGTTAATGATATGACTGCCTGCTTATCAAAAGGACCTAAACAATAAGCGTTGCTTGGCAACGGCGTGTCGCCGCAAAGTATTGCATAATGTTTTTATGAGGGGTCAAAAACCCATGCTCAAAATGCTCATATCTTTTTCTCTTCATTCCCCATGCCCCAAAGTAAATAAATATACTAATTTTAGGAAAAGTAACGAAGTTTGAGCAGTGTGGGTTTTGTATTAACAGAGCTACACATATTTCAAAACGCGAAGTGTAATAACTGCAGTTTGCCTCCCTGTCAGAATGACAAAGGTCCTCAGTGAAGCTCAAGCCCATGTTTCACTACATTGTAAGTACAACTTATTAAAAAGATCAGTTTAATGCAACTAATGTCGTCTCAGTGTTATTGCATGATGTTAAAATTGGTTTGCCATGAATTTAGTGATGGATTGTAAACATTTGAAATGTAGCATTTAAGTGTTTCTCAGTTACAATGTTGTTGTTTTAATAAATCAGACACTGATGGTGCAGCGCTGTACTGTACCTCTTTATATAGGCATGTTTTCCCTAACAATTTTTTTTGCGTTGATCAGGGGGTACTTGGCTGAATTTTTTTTTCAAAGGGGGTACATGAGTGAAACAGTTTGAGAACCACTGCTCCAGACAACCTTTTAACTACTTCTAGATCAGTGATAAATTATATTTGCAGTTAAGAGCATGGCAGTACTGGTGATTCCTGTAACTGTACCTGTTGTTAAATGACTCAAACTAACCAATAAATGGGTAACATAAACAGTATCAGACATGGTGGTTCATAAAAATAGCTTATTTGTTGCTTAATTTCTTTTGTAATTCAGTACTACTCCATGTCAAATCTTGTTAATGAATGGCTCAGATGATTATCACCTGACTACCTTCAAGTCAAAACTAATTAAAATCATAGTTTTTTTATAGACACTGATTGACCTGTTGTATAAAAGTCGTACCTTCCTGACTGACAACCTGCAGACAGAGGGATCCAGGACTCCGGTGTGGGGGTTTGCGCTCATTTTGGACACAAAGGTGAACCTCTTCCTCCAGCGAACACAGTTCTCTCGAACCTCCTGTCTGTGAAGAAAAAACACACAGCAGGGGCACATAAATCTCTGCGATTTACAATTTATGTACTGTACATTGCCATGAATGACTTATTTCGAAAAGCCTTTCCATTTCTGCTTACTCCTCGCTTCTAGAGTTGCAGACTTCATTCAATAAAAGTATGATTCATTGTTTTATTTGCTGAGGCAATACAACTGAAAATGACACTGATGTCAAAGCAACCATAAAGTGTGTATTTATGCATAGACCAGGACTTACTTCCTGGCATGTAGGTCAAACCCAAACGTTCTCAAGGCTCGGAAAACCCATAATTCTGATTTGTTATACTCAGACTTCAGAACAGCACATTCTTTACAGTTATGTTATCCCAGTCTCATAGCCTCATGACCAGTGTGTCCAACGAGGATCAGATTTATCAGAGCAACACTGAGAAAACATGTTGTGAGCAAGTTTTTCCAAAACGACTGAATAACAGAGCGGATTCCCATGGCTAATGACACTGGGTACATTTTCTCATTTCAGTGAACTGGTGACATTGTCAACAAGACTGTCCTGATGGAACGACATTACACACATTTTAAAGTGGTAGAGTTTTCAGGATTTCCCCTCCTCCTTTGCTGATAAGAAAGCTGTCAAAGAAACCATGTACGATGGTCAAAAGATTTCTGTGAAAACACAGAAAATGCCAGTGGAAAACCTTTAAGTATCCATACATCCTGGTTAAAGGCTGGGAACACAGCCGTAGGAGTAAAAACAGACCTGGCACCGATCTTTTTGTTTCTGAAAACAAAGGCTGAAGAAAAGTCATAGAAACACCAAAACATGCAGCAAGAGGGCAATGAATGTTGACTTGTTTATTATATCACTTGTGACATGTGTTGTGTTGCCAGAACAAGATTTCTGTGAAAATGCAGCTCCACATTGTAATCTGTAAATTAGGCTTGGAGTTGAAAACAAATGTACAATAACTAGAAGATGGGATCAAAAAAAACATATCCTTTAAACTATTTTTGATAACTCCATATGTTCTTGGTCTAACATGTATGAATTAAAATGAAAACAAAGTGCAGCTGAGGCTAAAGGGAATGTCAACGCAATTGCTTGATCATAAATCAAAAGGGAATGTCACTAAATGAGAAGCTTAGTTTTATTAGAACCGTTCAATATTTGTTGGTATGGTTGATATTTCACTCAAAATCATAAAAACTTCAAAGTCAGCAAAGACGTGTCTAAAAGCGTTTTCGCTGTAAGCAAAAGTTATTCTACCGTGTAATTTGTAGTTAATTATGAGCATCGCTGCTTCTAAAACTAGAAGACGTCCGAAAAAAGACTGGACTATTGAAGTTGTACTCTAAAATACTATATACTAATTATGGGGTGGAAAAAAATGCATGTACATGTAGGTCTTTATTATTTCTAAGTTACGAGAATCGACACTGTTCTGTGATCGACCATCATTTTGTCAACCTAACATTTCAGTTGAATACCATCCTGTTTCTGAGCACAGTCATTTGTGTGAATGTTCGGACGATCACCAGTAAGAGGAAAAGTTGACAACAATGTTGTTGCTGAAAAAGGAAAACGTCAAATCTTGGAACAAACATTGGATAATGTCAACATGCTGATAAGAAGTCGATCAACTTAACAGCCCACTGTTTACCAAGTCATTTAAACTGCATGACGCCTTTTCATTCCCACACATGTAAATCACAGTCCATTGATGTGGGGTGTAGCTGTATTTTGAGCTAAAGTCAGCCTCTTATGGCGCATTTCCTCTACAGGGCCTCGCTCGGTATGGCTAGGCCTTGTTAGGACTGGCTCACTTTATGCTGCGTTTCCATTAGAGTTTAGTAGCTGGGGCAGTAACTATAGTAACACAGTGTAGGCGGAGCCGTGACGTCATCTTCAATGCGAACCACAGAAAAACAGCATCAGCCGTTAGCTGTTAGCACTCAAGCTCACAGCTCCTCATATCATATCTGTTCAGAAACTAGACAAAAGTTAAACAAGTACAAACCACAGACTGCCTGTGTCATGGTGAATACAGTCGCTGGTTTATTTATGTCTGTATAGGCCGTTGTTGTGAGTGTGGACGGTCGGAGCATATACTGCGTTAGCTTAGCCGATCTCCATTCAGAAAACAACCATTTTAAAAGGGTTTTCGCCTGCCGTCTGTCTGCAGACTTGTCAAAGCATTAATTCATGGTTTTTACTAACCGGTATCAGTATGTTGTTACTTCGGCATCATTTTGAAACGTGTATTACAATTAAATCACGGTCAAATATGTTCATCTTGTTGTAGTTGTAGCCCCCTTGCCAGCGTTTCTCTCTCTAGTTTAGCATACTCAGCCCGACTCAGCCTGGTTGTTGGCCCGGAAAGAACCATGATTTTATGGGGCTAGAAAAACTGTGAAATAGTACCCGCTAGCCGGAACTACGCCAAGTGGAAACGCAACCAAAAACGGGCCGGCACGGCACGCTTAAAGCGAGCTCCGCGCTGTAGTGGAAATGCGCCATAAGAGATGTCCCACCCCTTAGCCTATCACATACAATGTGTTGGGGCGCTAGCCAATAGAAGCACAAGTGTTTCATAGTGATGTCATTGTGTTACGGAAGTAAACAAAAGAGTCCAATGGAGGTGTTTCAGGCAGGGGGGTGCTTATGCAGACCATTTACAGACACAAAAAACAATATAACACTCTACAAGAAAGGGAAAAACACAAAAAGCATAATAGGGCCCCCAAATGATACTAAGTACTGAATATAAAGTTGCATAAGAGTGTTCTTCTGTTGGAACTCTTAAAACCTAACTATTTTTACATGCTCCACAATCTATATATGATTTACTCGATGGTAAGAAGTACGCCGAGGGAGAAAGAGATCAATTGGCTGTATAGCTAATGTCACATTTTTAAACCCCGAAATATTAACAGTGTGCTGAGGATCAAAGTGAAATAACATCCATAAACCTTGGACCAGATCAGGGAACAAAAACATGCATTTTTAAAAGTTTAATTAATGAGTATATTTGCTCATTCAAGACCGGTCCATGGTTCATCGTCTGGATTTCCTGACACTCTACCCATTAGATTGAAGTATTTCCTGTTTACTCATTTCAGTCTGATGATAGCGCTTGAAGCAAAGTAATCAGAAAAAACATTAGGATGTATCCTCTGGGGAAACATTAATGTAAATGTAATGGCAATCTGGCCAAAGGTTACGGAGAAGTATTCTGAAACAAAGTGTTAAAGAGATTGACTCGGGAAAAAACGGATCTTTAAAGTCCTATTGCCAAGAGAACAGAAGCAATTGCGTTGACACAACTAATGGGTTCAAAGACAAATTGATTTCCACTCATTTTGATTGTTTTAAAAAAAAAAAAAGCAGTTATCATGTGACAGAAGGTGCTAATGTACAACTGACACGCATAACAATTAGCAGCTGCTCCTCACACTCCCCTCCCCCCATCACCGTATTCACCATTATCCACCATCTCTCCACAATGTGCTGTGGGGTTTCTAACATGCATCTGCTCTCTCTTACTTTAACCACTTTTGATTATTTTCAGTTTTCTGAGCAACATTTTACTTGAGCTATGCATACACTTTTGCTTTGCTTGTACAATAAACTGTTGGCATCAATAGTAAAATGACCAATAAAATCCTCTATATGTATCATTTCAAAATGTTCCATGAGGACATCTTTTGTTATTGCCATTGCAGAATCAGTGACATCTATTAAATCACTTTGCAACATTTGTTTTGTTATTAATGCTAGCACTGCTAAAATGTCTTCCATTTTATTTTGTTGGTTGATTTAATGTGTCTGTGTACAGACCCTGTATGGCATGCAGGGTCTTTTCAGTTTACATTTTATTATTTGATTTATAATTCATCAACTTATGGCTCACTTAAAGCAGGTATATTTGCTGATTGAAACATCTCATATGAAGTTTTAATGGATGTCTATTTAATATCATGATAATAGATATAGATAGCAATAGCATATGAATATAGCATAGGTATGTTATGATGTGTTGTGTAAGTCAGATATATTAACAGGACACTATCTTGCTATTCTGCAAATGGTGACGGTAAAACGTCAAAGATTTAAAAACGCCAGAAAAAAGCTAACAAAGAAGAAGACTGTGAGCTATTTAAGATAGATGAAAACCATGCTGGATTAAAACCACTTCAAGCTTTTCAAATGTTTAGTAAAGAGGGAAATGAACTATTCAAGGATACACATGATGCGTGTTGTTGAATAACACTGAATGTTAACATAACTTTTGTTTGTTTACAAGACAACTCCGCAAGGCCTCTTTAGGCTTTGTCTACTAATGTTCATCCAAACAACATGAATTCAAGGCCTATGAAGGCATAACTCAAAATATAGCCCATGCAAGGGTGGATTCACAACTAACAGACACACACAAAATACAAAACATGTATTCAATCCTGTTTAAGTTCTAATCCTACATTAACTATTAGTGTAGAGAGGTGGAAATGAGGCTTGGAAACAAGAGAGGTGGTCAGAAGAGAAAGAACACAAAAGCACACGCACACTCTTTCTCTCAGCTCTTATCAGGACCCTCACACCATTGGTTGTCCAGTGTGTAACGGGGAGCGTTCCTAAACCACATTCCTCAGTCCAGATGGCTTTGTTCTAACTCCATGGAAACCTCACACTCTTCAAATCCAGCGACGCTCTGCCAGCAGCCCAGAGGGGGAGGAGACGCTCACATCGACACTCTGTCTTTGAGCCTCTGGACGTTTTTATAAGGCCTCCGCCGTTTGTTTGTGATCTCACCTACAACCTTTGTGTCTTTTCTGTGACTCTTTTTATTCGCATTTGTGTAAGGGAGACTGTGGTGTAACATTTAACAGAAATGCGTCAGCGGAGGCCTTAACAGAGAGCTTTCTGGCTGAGTATCAAAACTCTGACTTTAGCCTTTCACATGAGACGAAGATGTTTTGTAATCAACAACAGAACCTTTCATAGAGTCATGCTGTTTTCTTTCAGTTTAATACAAGATTAATATCCGCCCTAACTTGCCCTACATATG